CTCCCCTGCACCCCCCCGGCTTATCCCGTGTGTGTGTTATGCCTATCCTTCCAGATCCAGAAGCTCTGTGACCGAGTCGCTTCGTCCACGTTGCTGGATGACCGGAGGGATGCCGTACGTGCTCTCAAGTCTTTATCCAAGGTACGTGGCCAACTTCCTGAGCAGCAGCGTGAATTTGAAGTAGCTTTGTCAGGTGCTGTTAAAAAGGCTTTGTTCGGTGTTTGGGCTCGACCATTAAGCGTTTGTTGTTTTCCAAACAGAAATACCGGCTGGAGGTGGGCATCCAGGCCATGGAACACCTGATCCACGTTCTCCAGACAGACCGGTAAGCATCCTGCAGCTGCTCTGCGCTGCTGGCCTGACCCTGCTCTGCTGCTGACGCAGCATATGCACACCTGCTGCCCTGTACCGACAGAGCTGGGAGGGAGCTGGCTTTCTGACAACTCCTCTGCTGCCTTGGCTTTTTATGCTGGTCCATGTCCTCAGAGATTGTTTGGAGGTAAAAAGAAGAGAATTCTAGGAACCAGGATGAGGGACTGAAAGTGAAGGTACTACCAAAGTGTGTCTTAATGCTTCTTAGGGCTATGTTTGCACTACTCCAGAGAGGTGAGTCCAAACAGATCCTGTTAACTAAATACACTGCTTGGAATAACCCAGATCAAGCTGTTGTTGGGCAAAAGGTGAGCTAGACAGAATTAAGAGAAAAAGAGTTAAGTCACCAGGAGTGTGGTTTTGCTCATGTGTGTTAAAAAACATTGGGTTCAGGCAAATGGAAGAGCAGGACTCTGAGGCTGGGGCAGATGGCATGAGTCTGAGTGCGATGTGTGGACTGGAATTTAATACTTACACAATCCAGTGCTTGGAATGTCTTTGTCATCCATCCTTGCAATCACTGCTGTACCTGACAGTGCCCACATGTTGTACTGTGGAACCTGTTTGCAGTCCTTGGATTTAAGCCTCAAATACTGCACATACTTGGTATTTAGGTAGGCAGATGTATGGAGATAGTCATTCAGTGTGGATTTGAACATCAGGCTGGTCAGTTTGTATGAGCCAGTTGTGAGCCTGTGAATACCTAGCTGTGCATCCATTGGAAGGAGGAGCATGTCCTTTGATGGCAGTGCTGAGGAGAATTAGGAAAGCTGCAGTTCAGTGTCTGCAAGGCCTCCTGCCCCAATTATGGATCTAGGATGTGAAACTCTGCTGATGGAGGCCTTTCTTGCCTGGCCAGTTATGCCAGCTAGGAGGAAGGTCTGAGGCTGCTGTCTAGGCAAGTCCCTGTTATTTCTTTTCTGTGGGCTGGCTAGTTAAAATTGAATGTCTGACTCGGTGCAAACAGTGAAAGGGAAGGTTATAGGAGTAGCTGTCATGGATGTGGAGGGAAAGCCCTTAAAGAAACTAGGTTAAGGAGCCTACTTTCATCCACTTATCTGCTCTGAGGGCAGATTTGAACTTTGAGAGGGGAGGTGGGGCTCTACTGATCCAGTTGAAAAGGACAGGAACTTGAGGCTTTTCAGTGCTTTTGGGGCTCCAATTGATACTTTAGAAATTGTGTCGTGGGGTTCTGTGCACATTTTGTGTGACTCAGGCTGCAGTTGAAAGGAAATAATTAAGTAGATGGGGGTTTTTTGAGTTTTCAGCTGAAGAAATGCTGGCTTTGGGGTATTGCTGGAGTCATTTGCTATTGCATGTTTGGTGGGGCAGCACAGGAGCTGGGACAGTTTTTGGTTGCTGTGGCTGCTTGGAGACAGATTTGTAGTCTCTGTGTGTGATCAGTGCAATGTTACATATTGGAGTTCCTGGTAGTGTTTGCTGTCAGTAATGGTAGAGGTGAGGTTTCCTGGACTCTCTCAGTGGAAATCCAGACCAGTTGAACTGATTCAGTGGTTAATAAGTGAGTCACAGGCTCAGCTGTCCCTCAGCTGTCACCTAGTGTGGGAGGCTGCTGGCGTGACAGAGGCTGCTCTTTTGGTGTGTACCCATAGGTCTGATCTTTGAACCTTTCCAATGTCCACCTGAAATGCCCTGAAGCTTTCTGCAGAAGGGCAGAAGGGGAAAATGCTCTTTTCTGCCTGTTGTGGTTTTTTTTTTTTTTTTTTTTTGGTTTTTGCCCTGCAGCTGCTTAGGAAGAGAGGTGCCTTGTGTTGGAATGTTGCCTTGCACAAAGGCTGCCTCTCATGGATGCCTGGGAAGTCTTGTTTCTTGAATGGTTTTTACTGTACAGTAAGAGCTGGGCAGTTCAGCATTAACAGAATAATCAATGGGATGTGGGATGTGCTGAACAGCAGATGGTGGCAAGGCAGTGAACAGCAGAGGTGGGATGCTGCTGTCCTCATTTTGTGCTGTCTTTCAAGCAGAGAAACAAGGCCTGCTTTTAATCATGTGCACGTTAAATGTGCTTATTCTTTTGGAGCTGCTGTCATTTCCCTATCCAGGGGTGTTAACCCACCAAGCTGCAGCCTTGCTTTTCAGCTTTCCAAGGAAGGCTTTCTGTGTGTTTTCAGGTGTGATCTGTTTAATTTCTATGAAAAGGGAAGTGTAGACTTTGTGGTAGTGTGTTGAAGAACAAAAAGGGCAGTGAAGGGAAAGCATGAGCAGGCTGGAGGTGTGTTCATACCTGCTGGATGAGGCTGGTTCCATGGACTAAAAGGTTAGGTGGTTGTTCAGGCCTCTGCTGTAAACCAGCCTAGCAGCCTCATGAAATGCTCATACATCTCTGCTGTGGAGGCCTTACTTGGAATGCCCTGGAGATCAGTGTGAGTAAGTACTTAGAAGCTGGAGTGAGAGACTTTTTTTCGCAGTCTTCTTTTCAGATGCTTGATAGAGTCATGAAAATGCTGTGAGGTGTGTCCTTCTGCACTTGGATACACCTTTCTCTGTGGTTTTAGCCTTGATTTTCCCTTTTTTTAAAACCAACTGCTTTCATTTTCTTTTGTTTTAAGACCAAGAAAGCAAGTAGCAGAAATGATATAGTGCTGTCTTGGTTGTAGCATACGGTTTAGAGATGGTTCAGCCTTGGTAATGCAGAAGGAACAGGTATTTCCTGAGAGAAGTCTGGGTGTGAGCAGGTGAACTAATGCTTTGGGCTTCCCTGCACTCCCTGGGCATGCTGGAGCTCAAAACCCTGTAATAATTAGCTTTAGTGGGTTTGGTGACACAGAGGCTGCCTGTTTATCAGAATCCACAGCTGCTGCTGCATTCCCTGCAGCTCTGAGGTCTGGCTCTGGTTCTGTCTGACAGTGTAGCAGGGAGGGTCCCACCTGGGAAATGCTGAAGCTTGTCTGCATCTTCACTGGGTGTTCCTGTGGCAAGTTTGAAGTATTCCTAGGGGTTTCTGCTGGAATAGGAGCGGGCTGGAGGGAGTGACTTGGAAAATTACAGATGCACCTACAGTGAAGCGTCCTGTGGTCATCTGGTTTCACCAGACTTGTGAGACTCACCTGAGGGAATGGAACTGGTAAAAGGAGCTTGACCCTGTTCAGGGAGCAGATAGCTCATGGTTATGTGGTGCTGCAATAAATCTGTGCTGCAAGGGGAACTGCCTTGGCAGAAGAGCAATGTTGTAAGAGCAGATGGAAATAAGTCATTAAAGACAAGTGGTTCTTTCATTTGCAGTTCAGATTCTGAAATAATTGGCTATGCTTTGGACACACTCTACAATGTCATATCCAATGACCTAGAAGAGGAGGAGCAAGGTAAGCCCTTGTAGTAATAGTTGTATTGAACTGTGGCACTGCTTTCCTTGGTGCTTTGTTCTAGTTATCAGCTGTAAAACTCATTTACTAATGCTCACCTAGACCTGCTCTGTTATTGTATATAGCTCTTAAGTTAACACTAAAGAACTTGTAAGCAGCTTGCATTAAAGTAACACTGGATCTCTTGCTTATAAATGACAAAGTACTTTGTTCTCTGAATAGGAGCCAGGTTGGAGTGGGGTAACTTTTTTTCTAGTTTGTAAATCAAGAATCAAATTCTCTGTTGTTGGGAAAGGACAGTTCTGGCTGTTACTGCCAAATGAGGCATTACCATCTCCTGATTTAACATGGATTTTGAGATGTGAAATCTCAGGTACCTGCAGTAAGGTGCCACATATAAGTGTGAAAACCTTTTTCAACCCTGCTGTGGCAGTGGATAAAAAGACTTAGAAAGATTCTACTTGTCTTTGTACAGCTGGGCTGTGAAAATCCATGCCACTCCTACCTGTTTGATTTTTTTTGAAGGCCATTAAACTGGTCTCCAAGGCCAATGAATGTTATTTTAAGCCATGTTTCAAATTGTGCTTGGCTTTCTTTTCCATGTTCCTCCAGTTCCCCATCTTGATTAAAAAGTTATAGAACAAGATCAGGGTTTCATAGCACTGGTGAATTCATGTTTGTGGTAGAGGCCTTGATCATGGACTGGAGGAAAGTGTTGGCAGGTTTTTCCAAAGAGCTCAAACTTGTCCAGTTGGAGTTGTGTGTGAGAGATGACCAGGGTTGTGAGGGTTATTGGGGTGCCTCAGTTTGACCCCTTTCCTAAGAACTTCCCACAGGAGTCCAGCTGCTGTAGGAAGCTGGGATGGCTGCTTTGCAAATCTGAGCTTATGCTGTAATTGGTTGTGCTGTGTGGAAAGCTGTTCAACTGGTAAACCTGTCTCTTGTTTCTTTTTGTTTTATCTGCACTGCCAGATGACTCTGAAGGTAAAAGAACCTTTACTTGTATAATATGGCACTTAGTTTTAGCCCTAGTCACTGCTCCTGCTGGTAACACTTGCTGTTGTTTAAAAAGGACACTGTAGGAGCTTGCACTGGAGCTCAGGGAAGGCATTTGCCTTCTGCTCTATCCTTACTCTTTGGAGCTCAAGTGTGTTTCCAATTTGACTTCTCCTGTGGTTTGGCATGTTGAATGCCAGCAGATCCCCGCAGACTGCAGTGATGGTAAATTCCTGGTAAGGATGTGGAAGGTGTGCAGCCCCAGACTGGTAGGATTCTAAGAGACCTAAGTTGGTGAACAGAGTTTGTTTGCCCTGGAGCTGGACACCAGTGCATCAGCTGCATGGGAGCATCCTTCACAGTGTCTCTTTTAAGCAATGCATGTTAAAATATTCACAATATTCACTTCCACCCTAGGTTACCACTAATGCTTTGCATGTTCTTTTTTTGAAACTGATTTTATTTTTTAAACTAAATTCTAGTCTGCTGTGCTGCTTGGTAGTGAATTGATCTGATCTTACTAGATGGAAGCTGCTGGCTTGATTGGAGGTAGCCCTGGGATTGTATAGATTTAAGGAACAAGTAGGGGTAGAAGGCTGGTTGCAAGATCTCTGGTGTAAGTGGAAAATAGTTTGCCTTTGCTGTTTAGTTTTTTATTAAACCTACTAGAAGAAATACTTGAACAGAGGAAATGTGATTTGGCCCTTTCATAGAAAAATCCTGAGCTGGAGTAAGGGAAACCAACTATAGCCTGAGAGAGGCTGTGCAAGTTGTGTGTGCTGCTCAGGGGTTGCCTTAGCACTGGAGCTTGTGCAAGGACAGCAGCTGGCAGCAAGATTCAAACACTTGCTGTTTGCAGCTGAGGGTGGGACAAGGATGTTCAGCTCATGGAAAAGTCAAAGTCAGGTATTTTGACTGAATTTTGATGTCAAAATGTTTAGGTTTTCTGGACTCTCCTTGGCCAGCATCCAGCTACAGGATGTGCAATCCTTGTGTGATTCCCAGCTGAGTTGCCTTTTATTCTACAGCAGCAAGTACAGGAGCTGAACTTGTGTTGAGTTGTTAACCTTAATTTCTGTAAATGAATGTGTTCAGGAATGGCCTAGAGTTAAGACCCTCAGCTTCAGGCAGGTCACAATAGGACTTAGGTCCTGTTATGTGCTGGCAGCCTGGGCTAGAGCTATTCTTGCACACGGTCAATCTTCCCTTTTAACTGTATTTGTAATATATTGTAATTTCTACAGCTAGAAATTTAAAGCAGAGTGGGTTTTGGAGGAGAAAATCCCAAGTCAGAAATTGAATTGCTTTACTGTTTTTCTGTTTCTTTCTATTAAAACCAACACTTTCCCTTTGAGTTAGAATTGCTCCTGCTCAGTTTTTCAGCTTAATTATGTCAACCAGTAGTACCTACATGCCCCTGTTTTGTGGAGCAGTTATGTAAATTGTCACTCAGCCTAGAAAAATAGCAGTGGTACAGAGATGTTGCTTGCATGGGGTTTGTTGATTTTGTGGATACTTTAGCCTTTGTTTTTTGTTCATGCAAGTGATGCATGAAAGCAATCTGTAAGACAACTCATGTGCTAGTCCAATTCTGTGTAACTGTAGGGTGAAGAATGGGATGGCAGTCAATTCTGGCACATTCAAAATCAATTCAGATTCCTAGACTGACAGGCTGTGATGCTTACTTGGGTGACTCTTCTTTTCCCTTCCTGATGTTCAGGTCTTTTTCTATTGCTAAACCCAATAGAGTAAGATGTTTGGGCCAATTAGCTTTAGATATTTATATTCCTTACCCTTCAAGGCTCTTGGTGTGACATGGACTTTGCTTTTGCCTATCAGTGTAGGTACTCATGAAGGGCTGCTGTCTTGGCTTAGTGGAGCTATATGGGAATGTAACTGCTGAGATTCAAAAGCTACATTTGGAATAATGTAGGGGTTTTGTTTTGTGAAAAGCTTATTTTGGTGTTTGTTTTGAGAATAATTCAATTAACATTTATAACAGTGACTGAAAATTTTCTGGTCACCCATGGCCTTACTTTAGTAAGAATAAAAATCACAGCTGCTGATGTTGTTCTAGTTGTGTTGCAATATGTTGTTTTTTGCTGTTACAGAAGAAAACTCAGCAAAACAAGTGGATGATTTGGGAAGTCAGTTCACAGAGATTTTCATTAAACAGCAAGAAAATGTCACTCTGCTGTTGACTCTGGTGGAGGTGAGTAACTGAGTCATGTTGAGGCTGCTAATGCAGAGAGCTGTGGTTTTGTCCTGTTGAAGCTGGTGTCAGGGGTGAGGTGTGCCAGCATCCAGTCAAGGTGGGGCTGGAGGTGAGTCAGGAGTGACCTGGATGAACACCACTGGTGCAGCTTTTAAAGCAGGGGGACATGGAGGAGAATCACAGAACCATTTAGGTTGGAAAATGCCTCCAGGATCATAGAGTCTAACTGCTACCCAGCATCACTATGTTCACTGCTAAGCTGTGTCCCAAAGTGCCACATTCACAATTCCTGAACACTTCCAGGGATGACTCCGCTGCTGCTCTGGTCAGTCTTTGGAATGCCCAACCACCTTTTGAAATTTCCTTGAATAGCTAATCTAAACTTGCCCTGGTGCACCTTGTGGCCATGTTCTCTCATACTGTTACTTGAGAAAGGGTTTTAGTTACTTAATTAGAAGGAATAAAAGTTATTGCTCCCCAAACAGCAGTTGTTGTCCCTTGCACAACAACTACTTTTCAGATGAGGATTAAAGCATCAGGACACAGTTATGTCTGAGATGCAGTTCAAGTGGAAAGGATAACTGCTTTCCAGCAGCATGATATTTGACTTACTTTCCACAGGGTTTGTCCTGATGGACTGCTTTTTACTTGGAGCTGTTAAAATTTTTGTTCCCAAACTAAGAATATGATTGTACTTGAGAGAGAACAATACAATACTCTCTCCTTTTTTTCCCTTTGCTTTGTAGTCCAACTTCAGTAAGAAACATGATATTCTACTTTTCCTGTGTGGAACCCATGTCATGCTTTGAGCAGTATGAAGGAACTGCTAGTGTATCTGAGTTAAATACTGAGGAGTTGGTTACCTAATGTGCTCTTTCCTATCCTTTCAGGAATTTGATTTCCATGTTCGCTGGCCTGGAGTGAAGCTGCTGACATCTCTGTTAAAGCAGCAGGGGCCTCAAGTGCAGCAGATCATTCTGGTCAGCCCCATGGGTGAGTGCTTGAATCCACTGCTGATTCATTCAGAGCTTGATGCTCAGCAGGCATGGCAGAGGCCTGGAGGGGTCTCAAGCAAGGTGTCCTGAAGACCTCAGCCTGGAAAAGCTGCACCCTTTCCTGTGTACATTTAGAAATGGTTCCTTGCAGGTGTGTCCCGCCTGATGGATTTGCTGGCAGACTCCAGGGAGGTGATCCGCAATGATGTGAGTGCAGGGGCTCTGCAGGGCCCTGGCATCCTCAGTGTCAGTGCTTGAGGAGCTGCTGCCCATGGGGGGGTGTGCAGTGCTGAGCTGGGGGTGGGGGGTGTGCCTCTGATCCTGGCTGAGGGTGTGCTGCATCCTCAGTGTCAGTGCCTGAGGAGCTGCTGCCCATGGGGGTGTGCCTCTGATCCTGGCTGAGGATGATGCTGCTGATTCAGCATCCTCATAGCAGCTGGGACTTGTGAAAAGCAATGGAGTTCTGTTAAAACCCAGGTTTGATTTCTTTTCTCCTCCGCCTGTCAAGGGAGTCCTGTTGTTACAGCAGTTGACCAAAAGCAATGCAGCCATACAGAAGATTGTTGCCTTTGAAAATGCCTTTGAGAGGCTTCTGGATATCATAACAGAGGAAGGAAACAGCGATGGAGGTATAGCAGAATCTAAGACTTAGTCTTGTGTTTCTGCAACTGTGAGCTGATGCTGCCAGGCTTACCTTAGGGGTGGTTGGAGCTTGGTCAGTGGGTAAAAGGATCACAATTTACAGACTGCTTGTAACAAAATAAGCAAGACCAGATTGACCAGGTAGCTGTGTTTCAGTGTCTTTTGAAAGCTAGTGTACTTGCTTAAAACACCGGGTCACTCCTCTGAGGGTGTGTGCAGGAGTTAGTGGCTCTTGCTTGACCTGGGCTTGTGCCTGTATCTGCCTGGAATGGCAGTGTCATGTTGTCATGTGTGTGCTGCATTTGTCACTTACCCAGTTAAGCATCTGCATTCTTCCCACGAGATCCTTGGATGCTTGGAGTGGCTGGAAGTAACAGCTTGCTCAGTTCCTTCAGCTGAACCAACAACTTCAGTTTTCTGGTCCGTTTTTTGAGGAGTCAGTCACCTGTTGGGAGGAGAAAAGAATTTTAAAAAGGAGAAAAAAAACATTTCAGCACATGAGGGCTTGGTTTTTTTACTAGCAATATGTGATGCATTTACTACAGTCTATTTCAGTAGCATGACAGGTTGCTGTTCCATGACCTTTCTGTGGGCTGCAGGAGCAGTTACTGCTTCTCTCCCAGCTGTATTATTCCAGGTATGTTGGCATGGGAGTGTTCAGAAAACCTTTGATTTCAATCTGCTATTTTTAGGCAGGTAATATTTTTAGGAGACTTGTTATGTAAATTCCTGTGTGCTAAGACTTCTCTGCTTTCTCCCTGCCACTTGTGTTCCTCTGATGGGAGGAGCCTTTATCTGAGTGCAATTTGAAAACTAAAAAGTAGATTAGAAATAAGTTGAAGATGGTAGCCAGTAATCGTAGAGAACGAATTTGTGAGCCTGAAGGAGGTGCTACCTTGGAATCACAATGGAGTTCAGGACGAACTTTGAGTACATTTTACAGGGGCAGTGTAGTCTGATTATAGAACAGGTGAACTTGGGCACACACAATGATGGTGAGGTTTTGTTGGCAGTTGTTCCCATTTACCCACTTAACAGATATGAGCTGTACATACTTTGGGAATTTACTTTGGACTTGGGGAAGAAAAACAGGGATGGGTTCACAAGGTTCATAGTTGTTGATCCAAGCCTAATGTGTGTTAAGAGTGAAGAGTTCAGAAATGTGTGCTCTGTTCTGTCTAGAACACGCTCAGTGTATGGACAAACTAATTTGTTTCCATGTGGTATATTTTGATTCACCATGTGATACTTTGTCTCCTCAGGCATTGTGGTAGAAGACTGTCTCCTCCTGTTGCAAAACTTGTTGAAGAACAATAATTCCAATCAGAATTTCTTCAAGGAAGGTTCCTACATCCAGCGTATGAAGCCTTGGTTTGAGGTTGGAGATGACAACTGTGGGTGGTCTGCACAGAAGGTCACTAATCTTCACCTGATGCTGCAGGTAAGGTGCTGTTACAGCTCCTAATTACCACTGTCAGCTCTTGTGCAGTGCAAAGTGTCATGTCACAACTGTGAGATCCAGGTGTTCAGCTCAGAATTAGCTACCAGTGCTCTGGAGCTGTGCTGCTTTCAGCACAAGCCCTGTCACAGGTGAGTGTGTGATGGCTGGCGTGTCACATAACTTGATGTCACCTGTGATGTAACAGATTTAAATTAAGAACATTAGGGGTGTTCTATGTAAAGAATTCCCTGGTATAAAACTGAAAGCCAAGCAGCCTTAGGTAGCAATAAAATAAACATTCTGTTCATTGTCTCCAGTGTCCATTTTTAGAAGCAATTCTGTTTGACAGTGGAACCCCAAATAAGTTAGGTTTTGCCTTCAGAAGGTGCCAGGCTCTGTTCACATGGCCCTGACATGTTTCCTCCTCTGCAGCTGGTGCGGGTCCTGGTGTCCCCCACGAACCCTCCTGGTGCCACCAGCAGCTGTCAGAAGGCCATGTTCCACTGTGGGCTCCTGCAGCAGCTCTGCACCATCCTCATGGCCACCGGTGTTCCTGCTGACATCCTCACGGAAGTAAGGGGGCTGCAGGGGAGGGGAGGGATCAGCAGCTGCTGCAGAGGCTCACTCAGTATTTGCTAAGCACCTCTTTCATATGCCAGAGGTGTCAGCTTCCTCTGTGGGCAGCCTAAATGAAGAGTCATTTACGTTGAATTTCTGGTGTCCTGCAACCAGGAAGGATTTGGATTTGCCTTTTTTTTTCTTTAGATTTCAGCATTTCCCAGAGCAGCTGAATTGATGAATGACTTTTCCTGGTTTGGGGGTGGGTTTATTGCTGTTTTAATTTTTTGGGAGAGTCTACAGATATTCTAATTTGATAGGTTACCAGTGATGAGGGGTTTTAGCTTCTAGAAAGCCCTGCTAGCAATGTAGGGTGAGGGATTTTTCCCTTGATAAAACCATGTGCTTCGATTGAGCGTGGACGCCTCTATTGCAGTTGATAATTTCTTAAAAGGCTTCAGCTTTTCACTTGTTAGAGATGTGCAGTTTAGCTGTTATTTTGCTGTCATAGAAAAACTGATCTGGCATACAAAGTTAAGCTGGAGGTGACTGAGCTTTGTGTCCCTTAAGCTTTGCTCAGCATCTCTTACAGCTATTAAATGCCTTGATTTTGTGCACACTGGTTTTACTTAAGTCTCTGAGCTGAGACTTTGTATGTGTTTTTCAGTACTGAACTGTCAGGGTAAACTGGAGTAGTGTTGAAAGCTCTAGGTGGTAGACCATGGCTCAGATTTAAACATGAATTTACCTTTCTTCTCTGCCCTTTCCCCAGACCATTAATACTGTGTCAGAGGTCATCCGAGGATGCCAGACAAATCAAGACTACTTTGCCTCTGTAAATGCACCTTCTAATCCACCAAGGTAGAGGAAGAAAAGTGCTTTAACTTTGTTAGAGGATAAGGTAGTGGTATGGGATTCCAAAAGATTTCTTTAATTCCACACTTGGAATTATGATCTGGAGTAATGGCTTCAGGTTCATATAGGGTGTGTTGGCTACAGCATTAAGGTGTTGGGTGTGTTTGCAGAGAGATGAGGCCTACAACTGGTGTTGTGTGGCACCTGAAAAACAAATTAACAATGACCGAAAAATCCTTCATCAGGATGAGCTGCTGTTGCTGTCAGCCAGAGGACAGTCTAAAGAAAGGGAAATGAATAATCAATCTCTTATTTTGTGTATAAATAACTGAAAACATATAACACCTTGGGTTTTAATATCCTTGTTTGAAATAGTAATAGGTGCAGTGCTAGGCCCCAGTAGCTTTCCTTATCCATGAAGTAGATCCATATTATGTACCTGCAGCTGTTTTCATTCTCAGTGCAGTTCTCAGCTTTTCCTTGCTGTCCCACAGGCCTGCCATAGTAGTGCTGCTGATGTCCATGGTGAACGAGAGGCAGCCCTTCGTGCTGCGCTGTGCTGTTCTCTACTGCTTCCAGTGCTTTCTGTACAAAAACCAAAAAGGACAAGGAGAAATCGTCTCCACACTCCTGCCATCCACTATTGACGGTAGGCCAGGGCAGCATCTCTGCACGGGGTTCTGAGCTAGCACCTGTTCATTCACCACCTGGTGTCTCGTGAGGGATTATTTATCTGCTGTTCAGTGACTGGTCTGGGCAGGGTGACTTAGCTTAGATTTGTCTAAAATGTCACTAGTTAGGTTTTTCTGTGTTTTAGCTGTGTTGTCTGAAATATATTCTGTGGCTTGTGTTAACCCCCCTTGTTCCTCTTGGCCGTTCTGGTAGCTACAGGTAACTCTGTGTCAGCGGGCCAGCTGCTCTGCGGGGGCCTCTTCTCCACGGACTCGCTGTCCAACTGGTGCGCAGCCGTGGC